ACATCCCCAGTGGGGGGAGGGGGGTGTGTGTGCAGGAGGCAGCTGATCCATGATTCTCTCTCATCGATGTTTCTAACTCTCTATCCCTCTCTCTTCCTCTCTGTAAAAAATCAATAAAATATATTAAAAAAAAAAAAAAAAGAAGTAGAAGAAGTGGGCATCATAAATCAAGAGGTGATCACAGGCTACTCCACCCTATCCTCAAATTCTCCAAGACAGCAAAAGCAGGATGAGAGAATCACTCATTCAATGAAAATGTGGGCACCTACTATGAGCCAGAAATGCAGAAATACTCAAACACAAATAGACCTTGGTGAGAAAATACAGACACAGAGGAAGCTGAGGAAGGGGCTCTGGACAGAATGTAAATCACATGCAGAAAGATTGGGACTGTCAGGTTTTGGAGGGGAAGGCCCAGGGCCCAACGGAGGAGCTCACTATGTAAAATGTGGACCAGAATAAACAGTTCCAGGACACACAAACACAGACAGACAGAAGAGGTGGGTTGGAGGGCAGGGGCTGCCTGGGTCCCTTGCTCTTCTCTCACCTTGGTAGATGTCCTGGAGAGAACCGGCTCCACAGAATTCCATGCAGATCCAGAACTTTTGCAGCCTACAACATTCAACAGCAGTAATAATAATAATAGCAATGATGTTATTATTTATTGGACAGCCCCTGGCTCATTGTCTTGCTCTGACATTTTTGGTGTGTTTTTTTTTAATCCTCACCAAAGGGTATATTCACTGAGAAGGGGGAAATGAGATATATATAGGGGGTGTCTATATATATATATATATATATATATATATATATATATATATATGGAGAACGAGAAAGAAAGAAACATTGATCAGTTGCCCCTACCTCCACCTCATTGCCCTGACCCCTGGCCAAAGACTGAATTGCAACCCAGGCAAGTGTCCTGACCAAAAGCCACACCAGCCAGGGCTCTGATCTTTTAATGTAACAGTAGTCATCTCTAACTTTCCTTGCTCACAGAGTGAAATCATCCCACTTCCATTTTATAGATGGGGAAGTTGAGGCTCAAAGAGGAAATACATATTCATGATCAACTGGACTCAAACCCACATCTTTGGCTCCTAATCCAGGGCACCCTTTGCTCTCTCATGCTAAGGCAGAAGTCAGAGTAAAGGTCTCAGAGGTTGCCAAAACCGGTTTTGCTCAGTGGATAGAGCATCGGTCTATGGACTGAAGGGTCCCAGGTTTGGTTCTGGTCAAGGGCGTATACATTGGTTGTGGGCACATCCCCAGTGGGGGTTGTGCAAGAGGCAGCTGATCAATGTTTTTCTCACCAATGTTTCTAGCTCTCTATCTCTCTCCCTTCCTCTCTGTAAAAAATCAATGAAATATATTAAAAATAAATAAATAAATAAATAAATAAATAAAAAAGATCTCAGAGGTTGAGGAAGTTAGAGGGGACACAGAGGCCCAGGGTCCAGGTCTGAGGGGCAGAGTCATTATTGGAACAACTGGAGTAATGTGGGGGTCAGGTAATTCAGAGGTTCACGTTAAATGAACAGAGAATGAAACTGGGGGAACCAAAGCACAGGATGAAAGTTTTGGTTACTATGAAGAGGTCGATTTTTGGACCCCTGGTCTCAAATTAAAGTTCAGGGGGTGCTCTGGTGGTCAGAAATGTAGAGCTTTGGGCTGGGGATTAAGTTAGGGTAACTCAGTTAAAATAAGGGTCCAGGACAAAAGGTTAGGGGGCACCCTGGTTAGAAGTGGGGGTCCTGAGATAGAGGGCAAGTCTTAGGCTCATCACCAGAGATAACTCCCGTGGTAGGCCACAATGTTGGCGTGCCGGCAAGTTTTCAAGATGAGGATTTCCTTCTGAAGTGTGGAAACATCATCATCTGCAAAGAGGCCAGGAGAGAAAGTTCCACTGCAGGGAAGGCTGATGGGGGGAGCCCAATGTCCTAGGAAGCCGGTGGGGTGTGGGGAAGGATCTCCTGGGACCTCTCCTCACCAGGCTCCATCTTCACCATCTTCAATGCCACCAGGTCCCCCGTCACCTTGTCTCGAGCCTTGTAAAAGGGAAGTTGACAGTCAGGCCGTCTCCATTCCCCTGAATTGCTCTTCAGCATGCCTGCGCACCATCAAAGCCTGGGACCCTCCCTCATCCCCTCCCCTCTTGGGCTTCACAAAGGCCGCTGGTTGGAGAGTGATGGAGAAGGAGGGGGCTCCTCACCTTGAAGACTTCTCCATAGGTGCCACCACCCAGCCGCTGAAGCAGGTCATAGTGGTCCCGAGGGTCCCTATTAAAGATGTCAGGGTCCACGAGGTCCATTCCTGGGAGCCGGAGCTGGGTCTCCGCCCAGGGGCCAGCAGGGCCTCAGGGCTGGAGTGCTGGCACCTCCCTCCCTCCCCACACACCCTGCACCCGCCTTGCCTCCACCGGCTGTGGCCTCCCCCTTCCCCACTCTCGTTTCCTGCCCCAGCGCAAGGCTGTGCAGCCAGCTCCACCCCCAGTCCCCTGGGCCCTGAGAGCCTGTTGGGACAGCTTGCCTTGGGACCCACGGGACCCCTCTCCACCTTCAGGGCCCTGGACAGAATGTAAATCAGATGCAAACTATCTTAAGTGTGTCCTGATGGGTACCTCAGCACACCATCCCCCATTCTGGGTGGTGGCTAAAAACCACAGTTGAACCTCTGCTGAGTGCATGAGAGTTTGGCCACAACCCAGAGACTGCAGTCTGCACAGGGAGCCGGAGCTGGGCCTGATCACTCAGTGTACATTACTGTTCACCTTGGGCACAAACATGCACTTAGTGGAAGCCCCCTATGTGCAGAACAACCCGACATGCACATGCCTGGATACGCATGTGCACACATGTGGGTGTACTTAGACCAACAGCGAGGGTAAAAACTTAGTGTAGCCCAATGGGCTGAGTTGTTGTGTTATATACCTCCACTTATATAACACATGCCTGTACATTCATGCCTGCAGTGTTTAGAATCTGTATCCACATAACTTACGACCACACCTGGAGAGCTCGCTTTCACCCAACATACTGCAGGTGCAAATCTGCGGGGTTCCGGAGTCCCTCCCATCCCAACAGCTTTGCGGGTGGGCCCCCACCCCTGGAATTAGGGTGGAGCACGGGGGACCAGTTTCAGGCTTTGAAACTATGGAGCTCAGGATCCTGCTGCGGTCCAAGGCTGGGGGTGAAAGAGCGTGGATCACGGCTCAAACAGAGGACTGCTACGTGCATTCCGACAGTTTTGTAAGTTCAATGAGGCGAGCAACGCGACGTGCGCGCACACCGCGGAGGCTCGCCCCCTACTAGCGGGTCCGCGCGCGGCCTGAGGCCACGGGCTCGGCCCGGCGCCCGGCGGCGCCAGCGCATTGGCTCCACCGAGCGCTCCCTCTGTGGGACCAGTTCGGGTGCAGAGTGTGCGCACGCGCCAACGGCGGCCCCGGGAAGAAATCACGTGGCAGCCGGAAAGCGTGGCGGCCGCCGCAAGAACCTTCCCCCTTCAGCGCCTAGGGGCTGGAGCGAAACTACGACGTATTTCCGTTTCCGCCATCTTTTCCTTTTCCGGTCCCCTAGGACGGCGCACCGGCTGGTACCACGGCTCCATCCCCCGGTGGGAAGCGACCGCAGGCATGGCCATGTTCGAGCAGATGAGAGCGAACGTGGGCAAGCTGCTCAAGGGCATCGACAGGTCTGAGCCTGGTCGGAGGGAGAGCTGGGCCGCGGGGCCGCCAGGGGGTGGTCCGGTCCTGGGCTTGCCCTGGGTGGGATTTTCCAGTCTTCGGAGGGAGATGTTTAAGGAAAACAGCATTGCAGGCGTCTAGAAACGGGAGATAACCTTGCCTTGTATCCCCTCTTTAATTGTCTTAAGGCCTCAGCCCCTCAGTTTTCCTCTCGACTGACAATGCTCTTCGTCTACCTTCTTTTCTCATATCATTTATTCAACACATGTTCACTGTCAGCGCCGGGCAACGTTGGGGACCAGAAGTGACCAAGACAGCCCCTGCCCAGGCTTTCATGGAGTTCCCAGTTCAGAGTCACGACAAAACCGTCAGTAGATAGTGGGCGGTCAGAGCTGCGATGGGGGAAGCACAAGCAGATTGGTCAGAACTGGAATGGGAGAAGCTAGAGCGGAGAGGATGGGGCTGGACAGGGGTGAGATCTGGAGAGGGGAGGAAGCTGTGCGTGTCAAAGATGTCCGGGAGCCCAGGTACACAGGTTGGGATGACTGATTGTCTGAGGTTGGGGAAGCATCTTAGGCATCAGACCCCTGGCTCAGGTCTGAGATACCGGTAAGATAAGGGAAGTAAAGGAGGAAGGAGCAGGTTACTGTGCCCACACCCCATCCTTAAAAAAAGTAACTAGCTCAGCTCCTGTCTCCTCTCTGCTCATCCATCTTGATTCTTCTCTAGATACAATCCTGAGAATCTGGCCACCCTGGAGCGCTATGTGGAGACACAGGCCAAGGAGAATGCCTATGACCTGGAAGCCAACCTGGCTGTCCTGAAGCTGTGAGTGTCTGCCTCTAACCCCAGTCCCATGCCAGTGACCAGCAAGGTAGCACTTCCAACACTGGATGGTACAGGAGTAGGGGGTAACCTACAGCATGAAGCATCTTGGTGTGCAAAACTAGGAATCCAAGGAAGTTAGAGCAGGAGGATAGATGTGTGTTCTTTTTTAATATATTTTATTGATTTTTACAGAGAGGAAGGGAGAGGGACTGAGAGTTAGAAACTTCAACCTGGGACTTTTCAGTCTGCATGCTTTCCACTGAGCCAAACCAGTTAGGGCAGAATGGATTTTTAAAAATATATATATTTTATTGATTTTTACAGAGAGGAAGAGAGAGGGCTAGAGAGTTGGAAACATCGATGAGAGAGAAACATCTATCAGCTGCCTCCTGCACATCCCCTATTGGTGCATGCCCTTGACTGGAATCGAACCTGGGACCTTTCAGTCCACAGGCCGACGCTCTATCTACTGAGCCAAACCGGTTTCAGCAGAATGGATGTTTTTTAAAAGTTAATTACAGCCAAGTTTGGCTTAGTGGGTAGAGTGTCGGCCTGCGGACTGAAAGGTCCCAGGTTCAATTCCGGTCAAGGGCATGTACCTTGGTTGCGGGCACATCCCCAGTGTGGGGTGTGCAGGAGGCAGATGATAGATGTTTCTCTGTCATCGATGTTTCTGACTATCCCTTTTCCTCTCTGTAAAAAATCAATTTAAAAAAAAAATATATATATATATATATATTTTATTTTTTTTTTAAGTTAGTTACAGAACACACATACAGGCTAGTACATAAATATATGTAGTTGGCTCTCCATATCCACAGAATCCACATCAGTAGAAAGGTTGAAAACATTCCCCTAAAAATGTGATGTTGCTGATGTACTGTGTAGTTATATCTACTATAGTTATATCTATATTAAACATGTATAAACGTTTTTCTTGTTATTCCCTAAACCCGTGGTCACCAAACTTTGCTCTCAAGCCACATGCGGCTCTTTGGCCCCTTGAGTGTGGTTCTTCCACAAAATACCATGGCCTGGGTGAGTCTATTTTGAAGAAGTGGCATTAGAAGTTTAAAAAATTTGGCTCTCAAAAGAAATTTCAATTGTTGTACTGTTGATATTTGACTCTGTTGACTAATGAGTTTGCTGACCACTGCCCTAAACAATACAGTATAACAACTATTTACATGGTATGTAATTGTATTGGGTGTTATAAGTAATCAAGAGGTGGTTTAAAATGTATGAGAGGAACTCTAGCTAGTTTGGCTCAATGGATAGAGTGCCGGCCTGTGGACTCAAGGGTCTCGGGTCCAGTTGCAGTCAAGGACATGTACCTCGATGCAAGCTCGATCCCCTACCCTGGTTGCTGTGCAGGTAGGAGGTAACCAATCAATGTGTCTCTCTCACATCCACGTTTCTCTGTCTCATGCTCCCTTCTATTCTCTCTACTAAAAATCAGTGGAAAGATATCCTTGGATGAGGATTAACCAAAAAGTAAAAATATGTATGAGAGGACGTGCATCGGCTATATGTAAATACTGCACTTTTTTATGTAAGGACCTTGTGTCTGTGGATTTTGGTATGCACAGGGGTTCCTGGAACCAAGCCCTGGTGGATACCAAGGGATTGCATATTGTTTAAGAAGTAATTATAAATTCATCTATATTATCACCATCCATATTGCAAAACTAGTGTTGCTAGCAACTCAGGCCCTTTGCCCCACATGTTTTATGTCAGTCACACCTACTGCCCACCCTCGCAACCACTCAGGTTCTAATGGTCTGACTTAATGTGAGTTTACCACACATGCATGCATCCTGATCGCCTTAGCTCAGGTTTGCCTGTTTTGAACTTGATGCAATTAGAGTCCTCCAGAACAAGTCCTGCATCTGGCTGCTTCCACTGAGCACTGGATTAATGAGGTCCAGCCATTTTCTGTGGCTCAGTTTTTATCTGTTTTCCTGTAACAGACGTTTGGGTTTCTCTCCTTCAGTACTTTATTGGCACACAGCTGTATAATTTTTACGATTGGGTAGCTTCAGTTTTAACATCTATACAATAGATGTATTTATAGGGTTGTTTAGGTTGTTACTGGTGATCGCTACCACCATGTGGTAGTTGCTATGCTATAAGCTTTGCATGTATTAACTCACTTAAATGCTGTATTGTCCTTGTGAGGTAGATATGGTTGCAATTGCCCCATTTTGCAAGGGAAAAAACTGATAGACAGGATTTAAATTAAGTCCATGGTGCCCTAACCGGTTTGGCTCAGTGGATAGAGCATCGGCCTTCGGACTGGAGTCCCAGGTTCGATTCCGGTCAGGGGCATGTACCTTGGTTGTGGGCACCAGTGGGGTGGTGTGCAGGAGGCAGCTGATCGATGTTTCTCTCTCATCGATGTTTCTAACTCTATCCCTTCCTCTCTAAAAAAATCAATAAAATATATTTTAAAAAATAAATAAAGTAAGTCCATGGTCACTCAACAGGAAAGTTTAAACCCAGGCATTATGGTTCCAGATCCCTAAACCACTATTTGAGACTTCTCTCTATACTCATTTACTGGTATTTGTGAATCAGTTAACAGTATCTTATCTTATTGGGTGGTTGTGAAAATTAACTGTCCTTGTTGACAGAGCAGGAAAGTAGGGTCAGGGAGGTCATGTAGCCAGAGAATCTGTGGTTGGCATTGGAGCCCAGGCATGTATAGTTCCCAGACTCTGTGCCAAAGCAGTGTGTACCCTGCCTCACACCTGGTGAGGCTTCTGGGGCCTGGAGGTGCCACCTGTTGCTGTGTCTCTTGTTTCCCTTCTCAGGTACCAGTTCAACCCAGCCTTCTTTCAGACCACTGTCACTGCTCAGATCCTGCTAAAGGCCCTCACCAACCTGCCCCACACGGACTTCACCCTTTGCAAGTGCATGATCGACCAGGCCCATGTATCCTTCTAGTTCTTGGGCCCACATGTGTGTGGGAGGAGGCAGGGGCAAGAAAGATCATTTCCCTGGGAAGTGGTCTGTGAGTTTAGTCACACTTGAGTGCCTGCTCTGGGCTTGGCCCAGTGCTGGGTAGGTCTGGCCTGTCCCATGTTAGTGACAGCCTCATGTATTCAAGCCTCAGGGTTAGAGGGGCCAGAGGAGGCACCTGGCCTTGCCTGGATGTTAGAGCTTCCTGGAGGAGAGACCATCTGAAAGATGAGGAGTTAGGGGAAGTGGTAGGGAAGGTGATCCAGGCAGAGGGAACAGGATGTAGGGAGGCCGGGAGGAAAAGCTCGGTGCTGTCTTATAGAAGTTCAGCATAGCCATGCCATAGCTTTCAAAGTGGAATTTGGGAGGGCACCAGGGAGCTGTAGAGTGATGGGGGTAGATTTATGCTTTAGAGAGATTCTCATGAGGATTCTAGTTGAGTAAAGACCACCAGGCCAGAGGCAGGAGGAGTTGGGGGCTGGGCACCAGGCAGAAGGCAAGAAGAGCTGGATTGTCAGCTAAACTTTATTTTATGTATCCTCATTGCCTGCCTAGCACAGTGCAGGCCTTCAATGAAAAACTGTTGAGTGAAAAATCAGTGAATTGGATCCCCTCACCTCCCCTTGCTTTTTTGTAGCTGATCTAGCACTTAACTAGGAAAGCCTCTAACTTGCCTTTAATTACTTGAGAAACTTGGCAGAGTCCCCCAACATGCTGGGCCCTGTGCTCACAGTGATCACCATGCCAGGATTGTCACAACTACTTGCCTGTTACTGGCTGAGCTGGGAAATGGCTGCTTACTCATTGAACCTGTTCTGCCAGGTGTGTCCATGAGAGTGCCTCCCCTCTGAGAGATTGTCCACCTTCTCCAGGGTTCTGTTATGATGGTTTAAAAAAAAAAAATACACAGGCCGGGACCAGTTTGGCTCAATGGATAGAGCGTCGGCTTGGGGACTGAAGGGTCCCGGGTTCAATTCCGATCAAGGGCATGTACCTTGGTTGCGGGCATATCCCCAGTAGGGGGTGTGCAAGAGGCAGCTGATCGATGACTCTCTCTCATCGATGTTTCTAATTCTCTATCTCTCTCCCTTCCTCTCTGTATAAAATCAATAAAATATATTAAAAAAAAAAAAAATACACGGGTGGCCGGATGGGCTGGGCCAGGTGGGAGGGGGGAGAAAAAAAAAAGACATACAGCACACTGTTAAAAATACAAAGAAAATTTATATAGGGGGAAAATGGCTTCTCTTCCCTATCCCACAGCTCCCCCTGTCCGCTCATAGGAGGCAATAATTGTTTGCTGTTCTTAGGGACCTTTCCACAGATATCCTGTAGCTACATAAGTACAGCTGTGTATGTTAAATTCACACTACACATAAATCGTGCACCTGTACCCTGCACCCTCTCACAGTCTGACATCCTTAGCACTGTCATGGAGGCAGGAGAGGCTCCCCTTGCCAGCCAAGAGTCCGACTTCTGGCTGAGCACCTCCCAACCCCACCCCCACTCCCATGGGAATACAGCTCCCTGGTCAGTGTGTATCATAGTGACTGGTTCTGCATTTTGGTTGATTTGCATATTAGCTTTTTATTATATAGAAAAGGATATGTCCCCCACCCAAATTGTAAGCTGTTATGCACATTGTTCTGCATTTTTTTTTTTATGTCAGTGTGCTTACATTCTGTGGGAGTTGGCTCAGTCTCTATGGACAGTCATTGATGTCCTTGTCCCCATCATTGGATGATTTGGTTGTCTCACCTTTTGCCATTACGACCCGTGCTGCAGGGATCAGAAGAGGTGGGTAAGGAGGGCTGGCTTAGGACTTCACAGTATGCTCCTCAGGCTCTAGGACCATTTTCCCTTAACGTTTTCCTCCAGCAAGAAGAACGGCCCATCCGACAGATTTTATACCTTGGAGACCTGCTAGAGACCTGCCACTTCCAGGCCTTCTGGGTAACTTCCCTTGGATCCAAGGGCAGGATGGGTGGCTGGGCCATACAGAGCGAACTGATAAAAGTAATGACCATGCCCTTTACTGGCTTCCTGTGTTTAGGGCTGTGCAAGCAGGATTTCATAGAATCGTGATCCTCACACAGCCAGGACTCCCAGGCTGTCCCCTGTGCCCACAGGGCTCAGGCAACCTCCCAGTAAAAGTCCTCCATCACCTGAACTGCCCCCTTTCTTGTTCTAACTGGAACCAGATCCTCCACTTCTGCAGCTTCCTAAATGGGACCCACTGCCCTAGAATTTTCTTCAGCAATAATTTCTCCTTCCTCTGGCCATTAATGTTAAACATTTCCACTCTCTGACCACTTCCTCCTAGCTTTCCAGACCCCCCCCATCTCCCTGTGAGGTCTCCAACTGACATTCTTGGGCTGATCAGCACTCCAGTCCTTTGTTCTGTTTCCTCTTAGCAAAAGTCATGCATCCCTCCTTCCCAGGATCCCCCCTTCCCCTTTCCCCCTCCCACCACACACACACACACACCTATATCTGATGTAACAGGCTGGAGAAAAAGCCACCCAGAGCACGTGACAACCAGATCTACAGTCCTCCACCCTTGGCCTAGGCTCTTGCCTTCTCCCCCCCCCCCCCCTTTCAGTTTATTTCCTCCCCACTCACCTAGACAGCTCTTTTGACCTCCCCTCCCACCCCACCATTTCGTCTCACCTCAATTTATAATCTGGTTGCTTGTTTTGTGGGAAAATAGAAGCAGCCAAAAACAGAACTTGCACATGTTCCTGGCCCTGACATGGCAGCTGACTGAGCACCTGCAGCTTTGAGGGTGGGTGGTCCCTCTTATGTCAGACCATCTGGTACACTGTCCCCTTTCGCTTGCACCCACTCGGTGTTACAATAGCAATTCTCCCTACTGTCTTGTAACATCAAATGTGGTCTTCCTGGATTATTTGTGTCACCATAGAACATGCCTACTCTGTAGTTCTAGCATAACAAAGAGCTATTGCCCCCACTGTGGTGGCTCAGCGGTTGAGCGTCAACCTATGAGCCTGGAGGTCACTAGTTAGATTCCCAGTCAGGGCACATGACTGGATTGTGGGCTTGATCCCCAGTAGAGGGAATGCAGGAGGCAGCCGGTCAGTGATTCTCATCATTGATGTTTTTATTTTTAAAAGAGAGAGCTGTCCCTGACATCACATTTGCTCTGTCTTCTACCCTTTCTCTGCGCCCCTTTACAGCCACATTCTCGGCTAGGGGACTGGCAGCCCAGTTTGCCCAGGTCTTTCCAGGTTTTAAAACTGCAAATGTCACACCTCAAAACTTAGTTTCAGGCAGGTGGGGACTTTGGTCACCCTGTTTCTGGGACACATTGCCTATGGTCACTCTTCCCTGCTCACTTGAACCCACTCCAACCCTCTGACCTGCTCCCCAACACAAACACCATGAAACTTGTCGAGGTCAACAGTTGCTAGATTCAGTAGGCAGTTCTCAGTCCCCCATCTTACCTGTCCTGTCAAATCCTTTAATCACTTGGCTTCCAAGACAACTGCTCTCTCTCTCTTTTTTTAAAAAATATATTTTATTGATTTTTTTACAGAGTGGAAGGGAGAGAGATAGAGAGCTAGAAACGTCGATGAGAGAGAAACATCTACCAGCTGCCTCTTGCACACCCCCCATCGGGGATGTGCCCGCAACCAAGGTACATGCCCTTGACCGGAATCGAATCCGGGACCCTTCAGTCCGCAGACCGACGCTCTAACACTGAGCCAAACCAGTTTCAGCGACAACTGCTCTTTTGACTTTCCTCATACCTCACTGGCTACTCCTTGTCCTTGTGGCTTCTGCATTTCCCTCACTAATGTTGGAAGGTCCTTTGCAGAGAAGATGACACATGAGTAGAAACCATGGGGGAGGAGAGGAGAGTTCCAGACGCAAGAACAGTCAGTGCAGCCCTGGCCAGGTAGCTCAGTTTGTTAGAGCTTCCTGGCCAAGGTTGGGGGTTCAATCCCCAGTCAGGGCACATACAAAAGTCAACCAATGAATGCATAAAAAAAGAGAACAACAAATTGATGTGTCTCTTTCCCTCTCTCTTCCACTCTAAAAATTAATAAAATTTGGAGTGAAAGCATAGATCCTGTGAGGCCTTGTGAGTCATTGTAGGATATGGTAGGCTTTTTCTCTGAGTGAGATAGGAGCAAAGTGAGTGCATTTAGCTAATCTGTATCTGTCCTTTCTCCGAACTGGGTTCTGCCTATCAGATTTAAAACCTAGGTTTAATTTTTGGCAAATCACTTAACTGTTCTGAGCCTTGGTTTCTTTATCTCTAAAATGGGCATAAAAATAGTAACTGTTACATGATAGGGTTGCACATGGAAGAATAGTTGGCATGTGGGGGTCGATTGTTAATATTTTTTTTTAAATATACATATTTGTTGATTTTTTTTTTTTACAGAGAGGAAGGGAGAGGGACAGAGAGAGAAACATTGATCAGCCACCTCCTGCACATTCCCTAGAGGGTATGTGCCCGCAATCAAGGCACATGGCTCCGACGGGAATTGAACCCGGGACCCCTCAGTCCGCAGGCCAACACTCTATCCACTGAGCCAAACCGGTCAGGGCAGCGGTGCGATTTTTAAATTTTTTTTAGATGTGGGAGCCAACGGAGAATGTCAGACAGGATGTTAATATTTTTAATATTAGCATTCTTGGTATTAATATTAAAATTGTCAACGTTGTCATTCTTCTCACAGCAAGCCCTGGATGAAAACATGGACCTTTTGGAAGGTATAACTGGTTTTGAAGATTCTGTCCGAAAATGTAAGTCCCTTTTTGAAACAGCTCCCAGGCAGGGGCAAGGGAGAGGCAGGTAGGGAGTGTTAGCAGGGTC